GGCCCGGGAGGGCCACGGCCCGGGCCACCAGGCTGCACATGTCCCAGGAGCCAGGCAAGGGGCAGAGAGTCCGCAGGGGCTGGGCCGTGGTGGCCTCCGGCTTCCCAGCCCCCTGCCCGAGCCTCCCCGCCCGCAGCCTCCCTGCCCGTCGGCCCCCTGGGCCTGCCGCCCTGCCCGCCCAGCATCTGGGTCCCTGAGAGCTGCCGCCCCACTAGAGCGCCCGGGTGCCGTGTCCTGTGCGAGCCCACGGTGGGTCGGCCCGGCGGCACCGGCCTACATGGACTTGTCCTTCCTGCTGTGCCGGCGGCCGGGAGCAGGCTGCTGAGTCACAAGGCGGGTGTGTAAGTGCGCTCCAAAGTCTCAGGTTTTCAAAGTGGTGCAGTTTGATGCTTCTCCTGGCAGCGTTGGAGAGTTCTGGTTGCTCCAAATTCTGTGCTATTTTTGTGAAGTGTCAGAATCAGAGACAGGAACCGACAGCGATTCAGGAAGACGCCGGCTCTTCCCTCTGCTCTAAAATGTTGCAAGTCACAGGAATTCTCTGTCCCTTTACCGGCAACCCCCGCCCCCCCGCTCGTCTCTCAGGCCTGGCCAGGCCCTGTCTGGCCCCCCGGCCCACTGTGGGGGGCCTCCCTCAGGGCCCCAGGCCCGCCTCTTCAGAAGACAGGGCCCTCTCTTCGTGGAGGACACCTGCCTTCCTCAGCAGACTCCCACGCGCTCCTCACGCGGGTGGACGTGGCGAGTCGGAGGTCAGAGACGTGATGACAAAGATGACACTGTCGGGCATGAAAGCGTCTGGAAGCAGAGCGAGCGCGCAGCCGGCACTGACGGCTGCCGCGGGAGAGCCCGAGCAGAGGGCGGTAGGTAGGTCGTGAGGCGCCGGGGTGGGGCGGGGGTGGGCCAGAGGCGGCCGCCTTCCGTCTCCCAGGGACATGCAGGCGCCCTGAGGGACGGCTCTTGCCATTCTGGCTTTCGGGGCTGCCCCGAGCCAGGTCGGAGGAGTGCTGAAGACACTCTCGTTCGCCAGCGCATCCAAACGTCAGCTACACTGGTTCCCCAGAGCGTCGGTGGGGGTCTGGGCCCTGCCTGGGGGCGCCGGGCGGGGTCTCAGCACCAGAAGCCCTCGGCAGCCACTGCGGCCGGAGCCTGCCCTGACCGGGGGTGACCCCAGGCCGCGGCAGGCCCCTCCCGTCCCCCGCGGCTCCCCTCAGCAGTGGACTTGGCCCGTCGGCCTGTTCTGCTCCCCGCTCTGTCTCTGGGGAGTCCTCTCACCCCCCACACCTCTGGCCTGCGCCCCAGTTCTGTATGTATCAATCTTTTACCAAAAACAAAAAAAAACAATGAGGCTGTGACCTCGGGAAGCCACAGGTTGGGCCCGAGGGCCTTCCAGTACCCAGGCCGAACCCCGCGCGGTGGACGTGGGGTGGACGTGGGGGCAGCCGAAGGCCGCCCTTGGGCTCCTCGCACCGGGTCCGGAGGGGGGCAGGTGGGCAGGCCCAGTCCCGGTCTCCCGCCCGCCGGCGCCCTCCCGAGGCAGAGGCTGGTGCCGGCCGCTGCCTGGTCCTTCCCTTCTGGAGCGGGACGTGGCCGGGGGCCGCAGACTCAGGTCCGAGACGGCACCTGAGAGCGTGGCCGGCTGCCTGCCAGACCGGGGGCCAGAGAGCGTGGCCTGCGGTTGCCTTAACTCCGCCCGCCGCCTCCAGAGTGCGCAGCCGCGTGCCGACGCGCCCAGTGTGGCGTTTGCTTCCGCTGGTGTCTCGCCGCAGCTCGAATGAGACGGAGGAGTCAGGAAACAGCGGCTCGCCCTGACCCTACACCATCTCGCTAACCGCCCCGAGCACGCCCTGGCCGCAGACACGCTCCCATCCTGCAGCCCGCAGCCGAGGTCTCCCAGAACCTGCCCGCTTGCGGCAGCTTCCTCTCAGCAGAGCCCGGCGCGCCCGGCTCCCCACACACCACTCCCAGGCCTTTATTCAGAACGGCCCCCTGCGAGCACAAGTCCTCCAGGCCACTGTGTCCGGCGAGATGTGGCCCTGCCCGCGCTGGCCCCGGGCACGGTGGAGCCTCCGCTGGGGAGCCCCGGCTCGGCCGCCGAGGCCGCGTCCTGCCCACACGCCCGGCGCGGACTCCGCCTCGAGCGTCTGGGTGAGACGGCCCCGCTCCCCCGTGAAGTCTGAGCCAAGGCGCAGGCAGGTCGTGCCCAAATGACAGGCGCACCTGGAGCTGGCCCGGCTGGCCCGGAGCCGGGCTGGGGTCTGGGCGCCACCCCTGTGGCCCTGCAGCGTGACCCACCCGTCAGCTAGGGGGCCAGCAGTGCCCTGTCGCCGGCTCTTTACCTTCCGCTCCCGTGAGCCCCTCGAGGGCAAGAGCTGCCCCGCCCGCCGTTGAGCTGGCAGCAAGGGTCGCAGGACGAGCTCGCGCATCCTCAGCTGTGTTGACGTGAAACTCAGCCGATCCCCACCAGCCTCCTCTGCGCCCACCCGCGGCAAACCCCCCGGGAGCCGGCGGGCGAGGCGCCGAGGCGGGCGAGGAGTCGGGCGCGGGAAGCCGCTGGGCAGAGGCAGCAGCGCGAGCGAGGGCCCCAGGGCAGGCGGGAGGTGCACGGTCAAGAGTGCGGCAGAAGCCGGGCGGGGCAGGTGGAAGTGGGGGAGCCTGGAGACCCTCGAGGGTCGGGCCGTGCACAGCTGACCTGCTCTTGAGGAGTGCTGCCCTGCAGGGGTCTCCCCTGGGCAGAGTGGGGGCCGGCTGGTCCCCAGTAAGGGCGAGGGGCCGCACGTGGAGCTGAGCCTGAGGGCAGACGGCGCGGGGTGGCTCTCCCCCAGCCTCGGGGCACAGACGCTGCCTGGGAGTGCCTGTGGGTGAAACCACCCAGGCCCGAGGCCAGCGCACGGTGACGGAGGCCTGTGGCGAGGAAAGACCAGGCGCCGGGCCGTGCCCCCGTCGAGCAGCGTTTCCCACGGCCA